TACTTCCTAGAGAAATCAAGGAGTAGAAGACTATTGATTTGGGTTTAGTACAAACCCCCTACTACGGAGAAAAACCAGACCCTTGGGAACCTCAAGAATGATCTTCTTATCAAGAAGAATTCCTCCCACAACCAGAAGGGCCATCAGAGGTAGAGTTAGCCATGACGAACTTCACGGGCCATTCTATAGAGCCATGCTACACTCCATGGGCTGATCTGAACAAAAACTTGAGGCTTCTCGTGGAGCAGATTTTTCAAGATTATGAGAGATCATTACCCAAGATAGACCTTCTAATCCAATCCATTGGTCCCGGTGACCCTTCCCTTCTCCCTGAAATGGAGGAGACTATTCAGCACTCAGCGAAGAAAACATAGTGGATTGAACAAGTTTGTGCACAACATGCTCAAGATCCCCTTTCTGCTACCATAGACGAAGATGGGGAGGATGAAGAAGGCTGTGAGGAAATTGTGGAGCAGACGGAAGTTGTCACGGAGAGCTCCCGTGATGATCATGATCAGGGATGTCTTGTTTTAGCCGACCACACCTTTTCCCATTCCCCCTCGAGCATTCAAGAGGCGGGAATGAGCGAGGAGATGTGAGCTGATCTTATTGAGAACCTTGCATGTCGACTTTCTCTCCAATCCTTGTTGGAAGAAAAAGAGCGATAAAGGGCGAGGAAAGAAGTTGTGGAGGATGAAGGAATTGAAGTAGAAGGAGTTCTTGATCTTCTCCAAGGGAGAGACCACATTCTGAAGAAGGAACAAGGGTTGAAGAAGAAATTGGTGTCCAGGCTAAGGACGAAGTTAGGGTAGAAGAGGCTTGCATCAGCCATGACTTACATGTGATATCTCCACCAAAATTTGAGGAGCTGCTTGGCAGGGACCCATTTGGAGCGTCTCTTTGCCAGACTAAGGCCACATCGACATCGGTCCCTCTTAGTGAACACAATGGTGGTCAATTGTTGTTTTCATATCTGGTTTGGGGGCAATGAGACGACATACAAAGAGAAGAAGAGGTCTCGAGGGTGGATACGTTCTCTACATCAAGGGCACAAGCCATTTTCATCACTTGCTATGCCACCTATCCGTGACTTTAGACTCCGCCTCATCAATGAGAAACGCAAATTCAAGGAGGTTTTGGGGTGGATCGAAATTTAGGATCCATCGTCCGGCTCGCGACATCAAAGAAGTGCTCGTTGGGAGGCAACCCAACCAGCCGGTTTGCACTTCTTTTCCGATTTCTCTTCGGTCGAGTTAGTTGTGTTCTTTGATTTTAGAGTCAATAACTCAACCTTTGTGATATTTTGTGTGGTGTTTATGTTCCGACTGCTCTTTCTACTCACCTAGAATACACCACCTGCCCCATCCACCATCATTCACACTTGATCTGGTAACTTCGTTCTACCCTCTTCGTCTTTCCCCCATTGAGAACAATGTCGTGCTTAAGTGTGGGGGGATGTTCCATTGTGTTTTCTTGTGAATGTTTGGATGTGTTGGGTGCTTGGAGCCTAGTCCACTGTCCAAATCTTCGATTTGAGGTTCCAAGTACGGATGTTTGCATGATCATATTGGCACTATGGTTTATGTGGTAAATCGATTGGCTGTTAGCATTGATACATGATAACTTGTTTGTGACTAAGATAACTTATAATGATGGCTGAGATGTGTAGTAGAATTGTGTAGGGGTTTAGTTTTTCAACTGTTTGCTAACCAATTGTGACTTGGATTAATCACTCATTTTCTATAGTCATTTATGCATCTAGTTCAGGAAATTAGAATGAGAGATAGAACATATAGGTAACCATGTGAGATTTGAGCCTGCTCGTTTCTTTCTTGGTGATAGATCCCTCTTCCATGATGTGTAGCACTCACGTTGCCACTAATTAGGATGATGGAGGCATAAGATTAACCCACGACCAAATTGACTGTCCTGGTGTGTCATACCCCTTAGTCAGCCCCTTTGATCCGTTTAACTTTCTTTTTTCGTGTCTACAATGAAGAATCACCCTTATGCAGATCGTAGAGGTTCCATAGTGGGTTTTACATGTTTTCTGCCGAAAAATAAGATGAGGGTTGGAGTTAGTTCTTAAAAGTTTGGCATGTGCTTGCAAAGATAAAAGAATGTGTAAAAGTGGTGGTTCTCTCAAGAAAAGGAAAAAAAAAACAAATGAAATCAAAAGGGAGCCACCACAAAAAAAATCTTAATCATGCTAATTAAATAGTGTTTTTTAGCAGCCTCGCTTGGAAATACAAAATTTTGTGACTTGTGACCTCCTTCACTCTTGTGCTCTAAAGAACTTGATTAATGTAGAATAGCAGAAAGAAAGTAATTGGTTCGAATGAATGTCGTTGTGTTTGGTTTTGGTCTTTTGGATCTTTGGAACCTTGTGTTATGAATTTTTTCACCACCTAGAAGGCCTTTTCCCCATGTCCAAGACACTAGCCAATCATCTGAACCCGTGTCTAAGACCTCCTGACTAATTAGTGGTGACACCCGATATGTGAATTCTAGCATTTAGAGATTGTCGTCATGGTGAAGAGATGTTAGGGATTGAGAGTATGAGTATGCACTAATTTTGCATCGAATTTTGTCCTGGCCCCACTGGTCGACAATGAGTAATTCAATTTTCATATTATACACCTAGTGAGGACCTAGATTGCTCGGTCTTGATTCTGATGTCTTTAATTTTATGCATGAGGTGCCTATTTTGAATGAGTGGTTGAGTTGAGTCTATGTTGGTCGGTGAAGAGAAGGGAGATTCTTGCTCTACCCAGTTTTGTTGCATTCGAATGTCATCTGTGATGGTTATCTAGGTTGTTATTGTTGTTATTCATGTGTTGGTGTCTAAAAGCTAGTATGATTCATGTGTTTTGTGCTTATATGATATGTCTCAAAAGTTTGCATGGTCAAAACGTTTTAGATGCCTTGTATCTGACTTGGTTTGCTTGGGACAAACAAACAATCAAGTGTGGGGGGATTTGATGACTCGATATTTGCACATATTTTTCGTTCATTTCTTGATCGTTTAAATTGGTAATTGATCGTTTATTGGCCTATTTTACGTTAGGTAGTACTTGTTTGTGATATTTCAGGACCTAACAAGTAAAGGAAGCTTAGGCGCAAGTTTCGGGTCAATCAGAGGTAAAAAAAAAAACCTTATACGGAGTTTAGGAGTGCATGATGTACAATGTGCACGGCCGTGCACATATATGAACGGCCGTGCAAGGTTTCCAGGGAGTTTGCACGGGCCATGCAATGGTGCTCCCACCCCGTGCGGGTTTTCCAAAACTTCTGCACAGTCTGGGCTCAATTCTACACGGTCGTGTGATGGTTGTGTGATCCTCTTCGACCAATCATGTGAAACAGTGAGTTCTGGAGTTTACACGGCCAGTGCATTGATTTGCACGGCCGTGCATACTGCGGGTGCGAATTCCAGCTTCGGGTATAAATGTTGTTTTGCAATTTTTGGAGGGGCAGAGCTGGGTTTTGGATCTCAAACACCCAAGGAACGAACCCTAGAGAGAGAGAGAGCACATTGGGATCATTCTTGGAGCTATTTTGAAAGATTTCTTCACCATTGGAGCTCGGGAATCAAACTTGGAGATGGAGATTGAAGATCTAGATCAGATTTCTGCATTCTCTCTCTTCTCTATGGAGTAACTTACCTTCACTTAGGTTATGAGAAACCCTAGCTATATGTTTGATTGGATGATTATATGAGTACTCCTATTTGATAATTGAGTAATTCAATCTATGCATGTTTTCATGATTCAATTCTGCTGTAGTTGAGAATATTGATTCGGTTTTGATCCTATGAGAGTGAATACCTTATTAGGTCAATAAAGCACCATAGATTGATAGTATTGGATTGATTGCTTTAGTCGAGGGTCAATTTACTGGTTTGTATCGTTTGAGAACCCATTCGATATAGGAAATCTAGTGCAGAACACCTTGATCGGTTGTTCTAGAGAAGGATACGTACCTCTAGGCAATCGACTCAAGAGGGCCTTGATGTCTTTAATTGAGATTCAAGGTCTAGTCAAGGATTCTCCGTATTATGAATGAAAGTGAAACATGTTAGAGATCATTAACCATTAATCTGGCTAGTGGCTAGGGGGAATCATATCTAAGTGAGTTCCCAACCTGTAATTTGTAGTCTAATCTAGTAGCTTGTAGGAGTAGTTTAGTTAATCAAACCTTAATTTGATTTGTTAGATTTTTAGCTATTTTACAGGGTGCATAAAATACTTACGCTCTTACGTTTTGATTCTACGCTTTATGATTATACCCTTTTTGAGCTTATAAATAAAATAGTGCTTTTAACTGCATTCACGATGTCACCCAAACCTTTCAAGCCGAATATTGGATTTATGTTCATGGATCACCTCCGCGCTTGAATTAAATCCATTTTTAACTACGGAAAAAGCGATGAATATCCCAAAAGGACTCTTTTTCCGAACGGATAAGGTTTTGGGTTATTTCTCTAATAGTGTATTTATGGTTATTATTAGTGCGTCAGGCATCGCACTCTGCCGTGGGGATTGTCTTAAAAGGACCGGATGGGGTGGTGGTAAGAGCTTTGGGAAAGGGGTGGGCGGGGGTTACGGATCCAATGCTGGTGGAGTTGATAGCTCTCCATGAGGGGTGCAAGGTGTCTGTTACCAGGGGGATGCTAAGGTAGTTATCGACAAGATTTTGGCCGGCAGTACGTGGGATTGCTATGGGGGAGCAGTGTTGCAGGAAGTCCAGGGATTGTTGGTTGCGGTGAATGTGGATGTTCTCCGATTTCTGGGTAGAGATAACAATAGGGTAGTCCATAGGGTGGCTAGGAAGGCCCTCTCTTTGTATCCTACTCTTATCGGGGGGTTTGATTTTTGCGCTTGACTCCATTCGGAGATGTAACCGTTGGTGATCTTTAATTCTTGGTAATACAAGCTATCTTTTGTAAAAAAAAAAAAGTTATTATTAGTATATATACTACAAATACACCTATTGGGTATTGGAGGCTTTTTTCGTAGTAGTAGTAGTTTGACAGAGGAATCAAATCATGAGCGAAGAAGAAGCCCGTCCATCATTACCACGCTCTACCGGTGATGACGCACCATGGCTCGTTTTTTCCCAAGGCCAGAGCCAAATTTTCTGTTCAACCTCAAACCCCAAACATGTCCATCGCTGTCGAGTCCCGGAGTTGGTCGACAATCTTATTATAGGCTACTCACAATACGGCTGGTTGATCCTACGAAGAGAAATCGACGATACGACTACAGAATTCTCTTTGCTGAACCCTATCACTCTCGAAACAATCCGACTTCCGAGGCTGATTAATTCGACCGGTAGGTTCGAGAGAGGCGAACATACGTTGCCACCAACCGATCCCTGCTGCAGAGTCGTAATCGCAGACAATGAAACCCCACAACTCGCGCATTGCAAACCAGGCGGCGGAGCAGATGATACATGGACCGTGCAAACTTTCTCCGAAGAGTTTGGTGCGTTCTGCGGTCTTGTGCTTTGCAGAGGAAGCTTATACGCCGTCACAGGAAACAGCCAATTGGTCGAGATTACAATGGATAACAACAACACTCTCGTGGGTAAGATTCTCGTTGACCAGGGGCCATTGTCTCTGCCTTATACCGTAGGATCACAAAACTGGAACTTGGTTGAATCAAGCCGGGAGCTCCTCTGGGTAATTGTGTGCTATCGCAAATTTAGTGACAAAGAGCTGGAGTTTGTGCTGGTTTATGAATTGGACAAGTCGTCTATGAGTTGGGTACAAGTCAATACATTGAATGGACGAGCAATCTTCATTAGTCCCAACAGATGCTCTTTCTCTTGTCCATGCGCCACCAACGGAACAAAACCCAATTGCATTTACTTCTTCCTTGGTGGAGACAACTACCGGAAATTTTTCGCTTTTGATGTGGAGAGAGGCCAGTCATCACAGTTTCCTTTGCTTGCGCATTCAGAAGGACAGACTGAGCTCACCGACGATGACGAAGACGATGAACCAATACCCCATGTCGCCTTCCTCAGCTACGGAGCAACAGCTCATCAAACTACTCCTCAATGCGGGTAATTATGCGTTTCGTCGCTACTTGGTGCATGAGGTTTTGAGAATAACTTGCTATTATTTTTGTCTTTCTGCTTTGCCTGCCACAGCTTATTTGATGAAACTACTAGTGAAAAAGATGTAGAGGAAGCAGAAGCAGAAGCCGAATCACAGTGTGAAACCCAAATGGTGGAGGAGGAGAAGCAGAGGGCATTGATATTGAAGCTTCCTTCCGACATCCTTGCCAACATAGCAAAAGGATTGGTTGACTATAGAAACTTCCGCAACTGCTGCAGGATACTTAACTCAGCCATACCCCTTTCGCCTCCACCATATCCATGGCTTTTCTACTTCAAGCACTACAAAGGCAACCTCAATTTCCTGGACTTGATGCATGGGCACACACACGAGAAACAATTTCAAGAGTCCCTTTCAGATGCAGAAGTTGTGTTTTCAAAGGAATGTTGGTTAGTCATGGGGATGACGAAGCGCATACCAAATCCAGACTTGGATTCAGATATACCATTGAGGCTTCACATTACATTCTATAACCCTTTTACAAAGGAAGCTCTCTCTGTTGCTGAGATGATACCCCTTCCTTTCCCGTCAATCTTTGGGGTCTCAGCACCACCTACTTCTCCTGACTGCTGCATATTTGAACTGTGTGAAGGCTTTGAAAAGGGTGTAATCTTGAGTTTGATGAGATTGGAAGATCAACAGCTGCATTTTTTCCTTGAAGCCGACGAGCAGGATTTTCAACCAAGCTATCACAATACTCCAATTTCTGTAGATGATAAGTTCTACTTCTTGGATAGAGAAAGGAGACTGGGAGTTTTTAGCTCGGGTCATGGAGATGAGGGCGAGTTCAAATGGACGTGGGATGTATATGATTGGCAGCTAATGAATAATGTTGGTGAGCCGATTGAAGATCCTTGTGACGAGCACGGATTCGAATTGGAGTACCTGGTGGAGTGCGGAGGCGAAATCCTCGCAATATTGGTGAGTGATTTTGGCAAGTTGGTCCAAGTTTACAGATTCAATCAAGAACATAAAGGATGGCTGAAAGTAGAAAATTTGGGTTCACATGCGTTGTTTGTCAGCAGGACAGCATGTTTCTCCACTGTGGAAAAGATTACCGGAATGGGGAATAAGATCTACTTTCCTAAAGTATCCGCTAAGCAGCAAAACATGGTGTTTTATTCACTAGATACGCGGAGATATCACACATTTCATGACTTTGAGGATGCCATGGAGGACTTCCAATCTTCTTGTGAAATTCATTTGAGTGGTTGGATTGAACCTGCCTACGCTCCTTAGATAGAGCATAGAAGTAATAATAATTCTTTATATATTTGCACTACAAATGGTTGCTCTTTGTAATGTAAGAGTAGGATTGAAGATGATTATGCATTTTGTTCCAAGTATTATAAATTTTAACATTAGTACACTGAATCAAAATGGCAGCTGCCCTGGCATCCTACTTCTGAAATTAAAGCAGCAAAAGTCCATAGCTTTTTATGATTGCTCCGCTTCCTTCATATTTGCAGCCCTGAAACACAACGACACAATTAAATTATATATGGTCGAAATTAGTTTCCACAAATCACAGTAGTTGGGGGAACTCACTTAGTGGTTTGAGTCTGAGACGAGTCGAGCTGCATTGTAACTGGACCATCGTTTACCAAGTTAACCTTCAACACCATCCAACAAAGATATGTATTCCATAAAACCAGAGTGCTTCAAACACCGATAGACCAAATCGGTCGAATTCAGAACATTCAAAGAATAATCAACATAACTTAGGGTAGTACAATTTTACCTTCATCATCGCCCCAAATATGCCATCTGCAACAATTGCAGGCATAACAGTGTCAACTTGATATCCTTAAGAAGTTTACAGCGTCCTGTGTGTGTTCAAATGAGACGAGGGGTAGTGGTACCTTTAATGGCGTCCGGATTATATGATTTCCTGAACTTGTCAACTAACGAATCATAGAATGGTTTGGCCTTCTGGGGTGGCATTGCGACATGGAAGTCTGGCTTGTTCCCCTTCAGAACTCCATATAATGTAAATTGGCTCACTGTAAACGGGATTATAGATGGTCATTAGGACTTAAAGGTTCCAATGGGCAATGACAACTCTATGCCGAATCCGCAAGTATCAGACCTTCACTTACCTAGTAAAACTCCATAGTTCTGCTGCATTACCTGCAAAGTCCCACACATTAAACTAAACTACTTTCATTTATCAGAAAGCAAGCAGATGAAGGGAAACAAAGGGGACATTTTAAGTGGCCATTTCGCAAGGAATTACTACATTCTGGTCCCATCCTCTGCCGGTGGCCTCGTTTGTGAACAATCTCATGTTCAACACTTTCCGGCATCTGCGGGTTGGATCAAAAGGGTTTTCCCCATTCTTCATTAGCCGCCTAGTAAATGCAGATTCGAGATTGTATGGATCAGTTTGGGAGTGGGCTTACATGTAATCGGCATCGGAATCGGTGTCGGACTCATGAACTCCGACGAGAACGAGAAGGCCCGGACCAATCTCCGAAACGAGCCGCCCCTCCACCTGCAATCGGCGGCAGTCAGACGAAGAAGTGAGGAGAAAGAGAGAAACGGAAGAAGATTGAGAACTGAGAACCTCGACGCTGGCGGAGGCAACCCGCTGGACGACGGCTCTCATGGCTCTGATTTCAACCCTTTTGCTGCTGCTGGACGCGGCGGATAAGCCGATTCTGCGGTCGTTGACGGAGCGGCAATTGGTAGCGCCAAAAGTAAAGCACGGCAGAGACAGATGGCGCATTTTAGCCGATTAAAGTATGTACAGAAAATAGCGTTCAGTACATCAGTCTTCAGCCCAATTCTCGCCTTTGTGAGTTTGGGTTCCCGCGAGGGCGCGAGCAGCAATTTGCATGACAAGGCGCAGGGCCCATGCATGTCTTAAGAAATTGGGCTACGGATTTGATTACTAGACCAGTGTTCAAACTCTATGGGCCAATACTATCATGCCGCTAAAACAAATGCGACATCAGTGTCGCTCTCTGATTGGTCCACATAGGTTGTAATGTGGCACTACAGGATTAACTAAATAGCAATCCTAACCCGTCGCCCATGGAAATTGAGCCAGAACGGTCAGCTACCCAAACAGACGGAAAAGCTTCCGTCTTCTGCATTTTTCCCTTGTTTTTCATTAATTCATTTAAAATTCATGTGACTTTTCACGGCAAGAACAAAACAACAATTGAACAAACACACATCCGAGAGCCCAACGTCTTCTTCCTCGCTCTCCACCTCCGACTGAGTGTGAAAGAAACAAAATGTTCCGGGGAAATCCTCTTTCGTCGATGCAATCTCCTACACAACCTCTCCGATCACCTTCGCTAAATTCTTTCACCGCGTCTGAAAAGCTCTTGTTCTCATGATGTTGCCCTGTTGGAAGGTGGGATTTGCTAAGAGAATAATTTGGAGAGAATCGAACGTGATCTCCTTCTCTATGGACAGTTCTGTTTTATACACTGTTACAAGAGGTTCTGTTGAGAGAAAGAAGGGTAGTGTACAGAGTGGGAGGAATGTACAGGAGGAGAGGGCTAAAGAATAGGAACATAAATAAAGAAAAGAATAAAAGAAATGTTATTCTTTTTCTCTAATACGCCCCCGCAAGATGGAGGAGGTGTCAACGACTCCAATCTTGGACCGTAACAGGAGAAATTGTGTGGAAGGCAGAGGCTTGGTGAGCATATCAACGAGTTGATGGGTGGTCGAAATGTAGCGGACATGAAGACGGCCATCCTGAACGAGCTGGCGCACAAAGTGATAGTCTATAGCCAAATGCTTCATCCGAGAGTGAAACAGTGGATTGGCACTGAAATACGTGGCCCCAAGATTATCGGAGAGGAGTGTAGGTGATGAAGTAAGTGGTTGATGAAGCTCGTGCAAGAGATTCTGTACCCATGCCAACTCTGCAGCAGCATGTGCAATTGCCCGATACTCAGCCTCAGTACTGGAGCGAGTGACAGTGCGTTGTTTCTGATACCATGTCAAGAACCAGTTGATCCCAATAACTCGAGTTGTTGGGAGAAGGTTCTGCTGGATCTTATATCACATTCTAACACGCCCCCCTCAAACGAAAGCCAACCCATGGGCTTGAAGTTTGCACAGGCCCACTATACCATGTGCTTGAAAGACAACGGTTAATATTGGGGGTCGTGGAGATTCGAACACATGACCTTTTGGTTCGAGGCTCTGATACCATGTTGGAAGGAGGGATTTGCTAAGAGAATAATTTGGAGAGAATCGAACGTGAACTCCTTCTCTATTGACAGTTCTGTTTTATACACTGTTACAAGAGGTTTTGTTGAGAGAAAGAAGGGTAGTGTACAGAGTGGGAGGAATGTACAGGAAGAAAGGGCTAAAGAATAGGAACATAAATAAAGAAAAGAATAAAAGAAATGTTATTCTTTTTCTCTAATAGGCCCCAATCAACGTCCTCAATCTGAATTTTGTTTCTTCGTCGTCGTCTCTTAATTTTGCTCTGTCGGCTTGATGGGGTTGTATTTCACATATCGAAGTTTGATTTAATGGATTCAAATAGCTCTACCATAGGGTTTTGGTGTTTCCCTTTCCTTTGATTGTGCTTTTGCATAATCCATCTAGGATTCTTGGCCAACCATCAGCCGTGAGCTTTCTCTCTCTCATGCTATGAATCAAATTAGGAGTTGCTCTGATGACAATCAGAGGAAACAACTCTAGTTCTAGGTGGAAAATTTTTCATCCATCCAAATTGGCTCAAATACATGGCTAACAAAGTTCAATAAGTGGGAACAATCAGTTGATGTTCCTGTTTCAGAGAAATCAAATTAACTCAGCTATTATGATATTAGGATGATGCTAGTCAAAATGAGAATGTAGATTCAGGTTTGTTCCAAGTAGTTCCCACACTTTTTGAAGGTTATCATCAGTAATACCCTAACGATGACGAATACAAAATACAGGCGATTAATTTTACTTGGGGAAAGACACAGCTGGAGGTAGGGGTGGGCATTGGTTTGACCAAACCGCTTATGCGGTCAATCCAAACCATACCGTTAATTATCGGTTTTGTTTGCGGACTAATCATTTAGTTGTTAGTGGTTCGCGGTTTGGATTGACCGAAACCGCAAACCGCTAATTCTTACCACTGAAGGTCGCCCACCAGCCATCACCAACACTCGAGTGGCTTTGTAGAGATCTATCACCTCCGGCGGCGATGACGCCTACTTCCCTGCCCAGTCACCCGCCAGATCCGAACCATTCCCTCGCTACCCTTTATGCTGCCTTCACCTTCCCTGTCTTCTGTCCCTCTCGACGTCGCACAACACCAAGATACGAGAGATCCCGAGCTTCCTAGATCGACGCCGACGACGCTTCCCCTGACCGAACATCCAGATTTGCACTTCCGCCGGCCTCTACCTCCCGGCTCACACCATCGTTCTGGTACTCTCTCCCTCCCTCTTCATATCCTTGATCGGTCTCTTTTGGATTCAATCTCGAATCAAGTGCATCTCAACCTTAGCTCTACCTGTTGTATTTCGGTCGCACCTCCGCCAAGGCGGCGACCGACCCACTGATCCCTTTGCCCTCCGTGGCTTTTCTAGTAGGAACATAGTTACATATTGGGTATGCTTGGTGGGTTGATTAGATTTGTTAGGTATGGATCTAGGGTTGTTGTTACCATTGCTCAAATCTAGAAACTCAACAATCCATGGGTACGCAGAGTTGAGCTTAAATGCAGTCCTGGGTACGCAGGTCGAGTTAATTTAACAAATCTGTCACTTGGATCTCTTAATTCATTAGAAGACCCATACTCTATTCAGTATTCTATTAAAGGACTGAACCATCACAGCCAAATACGAACCATTTATCGACGGTCAGGTTATCGACGGAAGGGCTGAGAGATTCTTTTGTTCCTCTCCGATTCAGGCAGAAGCTTTTGCAATTCTCAATGCAGTTATCTTGGCGGCCCAGGATCCAGTCCCAACATGTATCCGGTCTGACTGTTAGAGGCTTACGATTGCGTTGAGACAGGATCCAAGCCTTTGGCCTTGGCAGTGCAGGGCAACCCTTGCCCATGTGGTTTCCATTCTTTGTGTTTCTCCCTGGATCTCGATCGAGTTTGTTCCCCGTCGACTCAATTTGTTGGCTGATTGGATCGCAAGGAACTCTCGTCTTGATCTTCTTCCTCCGGAGTGGACTGTCATTGCTGACCTTGTAGCTCCATTATTGTAATTGTAATTCTTCCCTCTTGTTTGAGTTTGGAATGAAAGGAATGATGTTTGTTGTAAAAAAAACAAAAAAAAAAAAAAAAACAAATACGAACCATTTATGTTGATTTCTGAAGCCTTAATCACTCTCTATCTGCTTAACATGATAGAGAGACAACTCCGAGACTCCGAGAAGTGAATAGAGAGGGGATTTTCTTTCAGATGTGAAGTTGTTTGGCTCCTTTAGTTTAATTATGTTCCTGATGTGAAGTTGTTTGATCTATAGCTTAGTTTTAACTCTGGAGATAAGATGGGTTTTGCTTACAGATCATAATATGGCAGGGGAGGGTTAGATGGGATTTGCTTTCAGATCATAATATGCCATTATATGAAATTATGTTTATAGTTTTACCTATCACAATGTTCTAACTGTCTTCTTTCATATGCTGGTAGGGCTGTAATGAATCTGTGAATTCGATATCAAGCAATAGGGAAACAGAAGATAATGTTATCGGAAGGGTTAACACCTTATTTTGGCCCGAACTATTATCATATAATCAACTTTAGTATGTGGTTTCAAAAATTAACATCATGGCCTCAACTATGCAGCATTTAGACTCAATTAGCCCGACACATGGTTTGACTGTCAATTTCGATGGTCAACACGGTTGACCGTTAGTCAACACTCCATGTCATTGCCTCATCAGCTTAAAAATTATTAAAAAAATAAAATTCAAATTATTTTCCTAATTTCTATTATTTATCATTTTCAAATTAACCAAAAATTAAATTTAAAAAATAGAAAAAATAAATTTTATATTTTAATTTTTGGGATATTAGAAAATGATAAATTTTATAAATTAACCAAAAAATATCAAATTAAATTTAAATTTTCTTAAAAATATGATATAAATTATATATTTTATTTTTGGGTAATGTTAAATATATAAAATAATTTGATAATTTTTGGTTAATTTATAAAATTTATCTTTTTCTAATTACACAAAAAAATATGTTATGTTTTTTATAAATTATTTGTTGTTAATTTGATTATAAATAATAAAAATTTAAAAAATAGTTTGAATTTGAATTTATTTTTAATGATTTTTAGGCTGACGAGCCAATGACATGGCGTGTTGACTAATGGACAATGGTGTTGACCATCCAAATTGACGGTCAAACTAGGTGTCGGGCCAATTGAGTCTATATGTTACATAGTTGAGGGCTTGAGGCCAAGATGTTAATTTCTGAAATCACGGGCCAAAGTTGATTATATGGTCATTGTTCCGGCCAAAATAATATATTAACCCTTATCGGAAAGATGAAGTCAAAAGGCTCACAGGGAAGACGAGCTCGAGCACCGATACCCAGCAGCAATGTGCTTAGTGTTAGCGAGGTGAGTTCCTTTACTATGGTTGACTTCTTAGTGTGACTGCCTGATTGGTATTGTTCAGAAAATGGTATGGAGTAGAGTTCAGACTAGTCTCTAAGTTTTTTTTTATTTTTTTTTTAACCAAGATAAGCCCCAAGGCATGGCCGGACAACAAAATACAAAACATATAATAATAAAGAACGGTAATCCGTATGCAACCGGATTCCCGATGAAAGAGCCTGTTATGCCACTAGGTGGGCAGCTCTGAGAAAGCTCCAAGGAGCGAAAAGACACGAAACTGACACGAGGG